CCCGCAAACTAGTCTGCCAAGCGAGCTTATGCACAGTTTACAGTCCACCTGTTGATATTTCGCACAGTCTCAGTATCGAAAGAATAAAAGAGCAATATGTCCTACGGAAGGGCCTTTTGACATAAATCTTGGCTCGGCAGAAAGAGAGCAAGGAAGGCAAAAATCTAGGCCCGGAACTCAAGATAGTTTACCATGGGCTAATTTGTCGATTATACGAACAATCATCCTCAACAGCAACTTACCAAGACGCACATCCACTATGTCGGAGGTGACGACAGCACTTGAACTCCATCTTCCGAGCAGGCGTATTAATGCCTCAGATATGTCGCCGGAGTTTCTGAGAAGGCATCACCTAAAACATGGAAATGACCGCGGCGATGACCACGAGGAAGATAAAGACAATCCGTTGTTGCATTTCTGCTGGCAACAGCAGAGGTGCGGCTCATGCCTGGAGGCCTCGAGAGCGTGCAGCTGGTGTCCTGATGTATGTCTTTATTTCTTTCTTGGGTTTATATGAAGCCGTACCGTCGATCTGCTTTATGTTTTCCTATATATATACATATATATATATATATATACATATATAGGTGGGCATGTATCCTTCTACCAAACCCACTACCATTCATCTTGTGTATTTCTATCATCCTCTACCTTCAAATCGCTCCCCCGGAACACACATATTCACACAAATTAAAAAGAAAGCTAATCAACCCTCCCCCGACTCAGTCTTCAACCTGCGTCCCCAACCGCTTTCCCTTCCCCCTCCTCGGGCCCCTAACCTCCCCTTCCATCTGCCCCCTAGGCTCCCGCGAGCGCTGGGAGCTACGCGCAGCGCCCCTCGGCTGCAACGTCAGCACCCTCACGTTCATGACCGGTGCGGTGTCGGTGTCGGGTACACTTGTGCTGGTGTTCGTGGGGTGTGTTATCGTTGTGCTTGGAAGGAAGGTATGGAGAGCTGTTCGGTTCCGGGGTGGGGGTCGGCAGAGGAGGAGGGGGAGGAGGATTGTAGCTATTGTTGAGCAGGAAAGGAGGCCGTTGCTGGCTTAGGTGTGGATGGGTGGAACCTGGGGCTTCCTTTTATGCATTTTCTATGATTTGCGACGTTTATGATATGATTATGGGGCTGGCTGGGAATGATATGTCATTGGGAGCTTTCTGGGAAGGATAGAAATTTTTTTTCCCCATGGATTTGATTTTTGGGATTATAGACTGATTGAGATAAACGCTTTTTCTCGCTATGATTCGGCAGCAGTTTGGCTTATCTATTCCGTATATATTTTATATCCATAATCTCGACACCTGTCAGAGCGTTGATAGAATCAGTCTCCTTGCCAAATTACCCCCCCGAAGAGGCTCAAAGAGGGAGTAGCACCCAGCTTGATACATATAAATATGTAAAAAATGCTGGCAAGACATCCCCTACAAAACGATATTCATCGCCGCCCCAGCACGTTCTCCCGATTTTTAGGACTTAAAGGTAACCTTGCTAACTTTGTACTCCACAATTGGAGCTTCGCCCTTCTCGTATATGAAATGACCAGCCCCAACCCATACGCCCGTCTCAAGGCTTGCGTATTTTTCATCGCCAGTCTGGTTGAGGTTGATCGTAAGTCAAGGGCAAGTTCATGTTGTGGGGATTTGGGTGGGGATGGGGAGAATATGCTTGGGTGACATATTCCGCTGCGGTTTGG